AAATGGGGATTATACCACTGTATGCCATTCATACAAGAGCTGGTTCTAACTCTAGAAAATGTGAGGTACATAAGATCTTCACATTATTAGTACCGGCTATTATCATGATAACATTATTGGGGTTTCCTCTGTTGTGTGTGTGTGTTGTGTGTGGGTTTATTTTATTTTTTTTTAACATATTGCTATGGATCCCAAGCATTTGCTGATCTGGCACCTCCATAAAGATCAGAATTGGCTGTTCTTGCAAGTTTGCACATTTATGGTTATTTTTAGCTTTTTTTTTAACTATTAGTTTTTATTCATCTGTATCAATCTCCCATTTGGAATATCTTGTATTACAATTTCACTGTTTCAACCTTCCTCTCCTTTTGCTGTATTGTCTTGAGAAGATATGTGACAGGTGAAACAAATGTTTTCTGATGCTTCAATCATTTGGTCTGAAATAGTTGAGGCTAGTGTGGTTGCATGATGCAAATCTTAAACCACTAAAAAGAATAAGGTGCAAGATGAATTAATCCATGGAGAAGTTTGTCATCAATTTGTGGTTTTACTTTTTGCTATGTTGATATTGAGGGTCAGTGTGGTTGTCTAAATGTTAAGGACCACTATAGTGCCAGGAAAACATACTCGTTTTCCTGGCACTATAGTGCCCTGAGGGTGCCCCCACCCTCAGGGACCCCCTCCCGCCCGGCTCTGGAAAGGGGAAAGGGGCAAAAACTTACCTTTTTCCAGCACTGGGCGGGGAGCTCTCTGCCTCCTCTCCTCCTCCGATCCTCCTCCTGGGCTGAATGCGCACGCGCGGCAAGAGCTGCGCGCGCATTCAGCCCGTCGCATAGGAAAGCATTTACAATGCTTTCCTATGGACGCTGCGTGCTCTCACTGTGAAAATCACAGTGAGAAGCACGCAAGCGCCTCTAGTGGCTGTCAATGAGACAGCCACTAGAGGGAATAGGGGGAAGGCTTAACCCATTAATAAACATAGCAGTTTCTCTGAAACTGCTATGTTTATTAAAAAATGGGTTAACTCTAGCTGGACCAGGCACCCAGACCACTTCATTAAGCTGAAGTGGTCTGGGTGCCTAGAGTGGTCCTTTAGTAATATTTCAGTCTGGATATATTCTAATTTTTTTTTTTTTATTCTTTCTTTTTGCATACATGAGATTTACAAACGTTTTGCCATTGCCCCAAGAGTAATGACATAAAGAATAAACATAGCAATTAGTGATGTCGCGAACACGAAATTTTCGGTTCGCAAACGCGAACTTCCGCGAACCGCCATAGACTTCAATGGGCAGGCGAATTTTAAAACACACAGGGACTCTTTCTGGCCACAATAGTGATGGAAAAGTTGTTTCAAGGGGACGAACAATATGACATATTGACACAGAGCAGAATAGGGACTGTTCCCCCTACATAGGGTCACTTGGCAGATATGGATTGACACCTGTCCTCAGAGACCATGATACACACTGACACAGAGCAGAATAGGGAATGTTCCCCCTACATAGGGTCACTTGGCAGATATGGATTGACACCTATCCTAAGGATCCCTTATACACACTGACACAGAGCAGAATAGGGAATATTCACTAAATGCTAAACATTGTTATACAGGGGAATATTCAGTAAATAAGGATAAGGCGGGACCTACTGTCCTCCCCCCGGCCCCCACCCCTGCACGGTGGGTGGGGGCCATAAATCTCAATGGGGGGGACCTACTGTCCTCCCGCCCCCACCCATGAGCGGTGGGTGGGGGCCATATGAATAATGAGGGGGGGGGATCTACTGTATGATGTTGTATCGATCAGGTAGTGTAAGGGTTACGCCCGCTTCACAGTGACAGACCAAACTCCCCGTTTAACGCACCGCAAACAGTCCATTTGCACAACCGCAAACTCCCCATTTGCACAAGGTTGGATACCAAGCTAGCCATGTCCGTTCCTTGTCCTCACTGATGTCATTGAAGGTCTCTTCCTCCACCCAGCCACGTACAACACCAAGGGTCCCCGAAAGGTGACAACAAGCCCCCTGGGACGCCTGCTGTGTTTGGTCTTCCACCTCCTCAAAGCCACCTTCCTCCTCTGACTCCTCTTCTTCAGACTCCTCTCTCTGCGTTGCCTCTCTCTGCATTATAAGGTGTGTTAAGTAGTACTATTCCTATCAGTTTAATCCCTGTTACGTCCCCTATCAGGGGACGTGTATATGGCATCGATTTTAGGAACCGGGAGATGGAAAAAGATGCTTGGTCGGTCCTCCTACTTCAAATTTGGGGCACTGCGCGTGCAATCTAATGTGCCACCAGATAGGAGTGGTGTGTTAAGTAGTACTATTCTTATCAGTTTAATCCCTGTTACGTCCCCTATCCGTTGATGTGGAGCAAGACGCAGCAGCAGAAGAGGACTCAGCCGAGGAGGTTATGGAAGAGGATGGAGTAGGAGGAGTAGAGGAGGTGGCAGCAGGCCTGCCTGCAAGTCGTGGCGGTGTCACCAACTCCTCTGCAGAGCCACGCATTCCATGCTTGGCAGCCGTCAGCAGGTTTACCCAATGCGCAGTGTAGGGGTGGCCTGCCTCTGCCTGTCATTTTGTTTTCGATTAGTGGTACTATGCGTGCAAGCTACTGTGACACCAGATATGAGTGGCACTGTGAACTGGCAGAGGTTGGCAGAGTACATGCTGTAGGCCTGACACACCAGCTTGAAGACAACTAACTGCTATTCAATCTATAACAGTGAAAAAAGTTTTTTGTTTTTAAATGCAAGCTATTGTGACACCAGTGAGTGAGTGGCACTGGGCAAATGGGCACAGTATACGCTGCGAGCCTGACACACAGACGCTTGCAGACAACTAACTGCTATTCAATCTATAACAGTGAAAAAGTTTTTTGGTTTTTAAATGCACACTATTGTGACACCAGTGAGTGAGTGGTGGCACTGGGCAAGTGGGCACAGTATCCACTGTGAGCCTGACACAGAAGCTGGCAGGCAGGCAGGCAACTGCAATTACATTACACAGAAAAAAAAAAAAAGCAGACTGATGTTATAGCCCTAAAAAGGGCTTTTTGGGGTGCTGTCCTTACAGCAGAGATCAGATGAGTCCTTCAGGACTGTAGTGGACACTGTATACACTAACCTAGCTATCCATTTCCCTATCAAATCAATAGCAGCTACACTTTCCCTCCTCTCACTAAGCATGCAGCTTGAGAATGAATCTAAAATGGATGCTGTCCAGTAGGTGGGAGGGTCTGCTAGGGAGGGTGTGCTGCTAATTGGCTGGAATGTGTCTGCTGACTGTGAGGTACAGGGTCATAGTTTACTCAATGATGACGAATAGGGGGCGGTTCGAACCGCGCATATGTTCGCCCACCGTGGCGAACGCAAACATGCTATGTTCGTCAGGAACTATTCGCCAGCGAACCGTTCGGTGCATCACTAATAGCAATTCTTACAGAGGGCTTTTGAATATAAAGCACAATTTTAAATATAAGTATAACATGGATCACACTATCTAGCATCTTGTGAATCCCGTGTGGGAAGTGAATGGTCAATGTGTAGGTAAAGATCGTGTTGTTGCAGAGTAAAAGCACTAGCATGGTGGTGGCTGGACCGAGTATTGTAATAAACGGTCTGCATATTTTTAAACAATTTACTAAATGAGTGACAAGGCCGTGGTCTAGTGGGGTTGGCTACAGCAGAAATTAAATGACCACTATAGTGCCAGGAAAACATACTCTTCTTCCTGGCACTATAGTTCCCTGAGGGTTCCCCCACCCTCAGGGTCCTGAGGGTGTCCCCACCCTCAGGGTCCCACTCCCATGGAGCTGAGGGGGGAGGAAGGGGTTAATCCTTACCTTTCTTTCCAGAGCCGGGACTCTCCTCCCTCTTCTTCCCTCATCGGCTGAATGCGCATGTGCGGCAAGAACCACGCGCACATTCAGCCAGTCTCATATCAATGCTTTCCTATGGATGCTGGCGTCTTCTCACTGTGAAAATCAGTAAGAAGCACAGAAGCGGCTGTCAATGAGACAGCCACTAGAGGCTGGATTAACCCATATGTAAACATAGCAGTTTCTCTGAAACTACTATGTTTACAGCAAAAAGGGTTAAACCTAGCTGGACCTGGTACCCAGACCACTTCATTAAGCTGAAGTGGTCTGGGTGCCTATAGTGGTCCTTTTAATGCTACAGCAGGTGGGGTTGGCTCACCTGCTTATTCAGGCTATAGGCTATATGGTATTTGTTTTTGATATGTTTATGTTCTGGCTTTTTAGGGCCTTAACTATGGTAAAGTCATGAATTGGTGGTTTTTAAGACACAATATTTTGGTTACAAGTTATTTTGTTTTGAAAGTGAGTAAAGTTATTGTTACAATTTGTTTGTAAACTAAACCACAACCTTTTATAGCACATATCTGGTTTAGTGTGTTTATCAAAGTTATAAATATATGTGGTTTATTATGTGTATTGTGTTGATTCTAACACCTGCAGTGCACATGTCAATTGCATTTTTTGTTTAATTTGAAAAGACTAGCACCTGTAATTATTTTTAAATGTGTGAGAAGCAGGCTTCTAATCCAATGATTTATTTTTTTCCAATGAAAAAGAATGATGGAATCCTGCTCCAACATTTTATTTATTTTTATTTTTTTTGTCAAATGAGCTTGGAAGTTTTTTTTTTTTTTACGTGCAGGATATTGTGTCATAGAACTTGTGTTTCAAGTATTCATGGTATTTACCATATAATATTTCTCAACTATATCTGACTCGTATCTGAATGGCATGCTGTATCTTTATTGGGCTGAGAATAAATCTAAATACATATATACGATAATAAACAAGGTGGGACCTAGTTGATTGTGAGGAGAGAATATCGCACTAATCCTCTTTCCTTTAATACCAAGTCACTCCCCCAAGTCCTCCTTCTGTCACAGGGAGACACAGTAACAATTGCGGAAGGCACAGGAAAGGGAGTGTGATGTCTGATACCCAGGCTACTGTTGGCACTATGAAGATGTCTTTGTCCCTGCTCGAGACTGCACGTTCTAGATATGAGAGTCTCCAGATTTCAGACGATCTTTTTGGGGAGTCGGGGGACGACAGCAGCGGTAACCCCTTTTACAGTACCTCTCCCGACTCCCGTTCATCAGCTGCGGGCGGTTCTTCTGAGGATGATCAGGCTGACGGTAAAGATCCACCAAAATTGGAACAAGAAGACTCTAGGGAATCAGGTCAGAAAGAACCAGGAGAGGTCCAAGAAGACTTGGGATTTGCACAGTGGCAGGCATACGATTTAAAAGTGGGAGCAAATAGGGGCAGAAACAGGGAGGCAAAGAGGTGGGGATCCGAGCTGGTGAAAAATGCAGGTTTAAAGGCTGGAGAAGACCCAGTGAACGATGGTAAAACGGAGATGTCCGGCAAATATGCACAGACAAGGCCCGGCGATGACCTGAGAGATGAAGGCTGGTCAGACATCCTTCATGATGTGCCCACCCCCAGCTTCAAGGATACCAGTGGTAAGAATCTGAAACATAAAAGGGCACAGGCAGCTAGCAGATAATCACATTACGCACCGTTATTTCTATTCGCACACTCTAGGCTTAGATCGTATATGTAAACTATTATTGTGATCTATATATCTATATCTCATTCATGTTATCACCTCACGTGATCGCCACAATGACTGTAGTGATGTCTATCTGTTTGTATGTTTCTATTTTTGCAATATCGAATGAAAGCATGGAAATCCGTCTGAATATCATTCAGCAAAGTATTGAAATTGGGGGTATCTGTAATAGGTTTTGCTTTTGGAAACCTTGCAAATAAAAGACCAATTTGTAATGCCTATGATATATATCTTATAATTGATCTGGTGTTTTATATGCAGTCATATCTCTTTATTGGAATAATTTGAATAGACTACTAAAGTAATCACTTAGGGTGGATAGCAAATCAGGCTCCTAGCATTCTGTCTCAGATGTGTTAAGATAAAAACACAAGTAACTGGGGTGCTTTTAAATTAATACTACATACTTGAATTCTGCTTTAAAGAGCTGGGGCTTCTGCTATACAAGGAAGATGCTTCACCAATCATGAGTCCCTTGTTCTAGTTTATTTTTATTTTTTATTTTTTCTCCTAACTCAGTTCATTGGATAGGTAGCATACACCCCTGCTGCAGTTCCACTCATCACACAGAATGATCGGAACGTCTCAAGCTGATAACCACAGAATACACTTTACTCAGTTTATTCACTGTCCATGCACAACTTTGTATAGCTGTACGCATAAATTTCCTATCCTATGTGTGTGGTGCTCTGGTTCTCAACAAATGTGCACATAGCAAGAGAGATCATTGAATTATGGATGAATTCTTCCTGTGACCTCCATGATTCGATCTCTCTTGCTATGTTCCAATCAGAAATTGTGTTGTCAGAAAGCCATGCAACATGCTTATACCTCCAGTAATTTTTGCTTTTTACTGCCGTTATAAGCAACCCTGGTAATCATCATGGAGAGAATTAATGGCAATTCTCTGCATCACAACCTTTGCAAAAATGGAAACTAGTTAGTGTATAGAGCAATTTAAAATGTACCTATATACTTAAGGTAGATTTAAATCTAAAGATATGTGGATTATAGAAGAAAAGCTACTTTTGTAAAATTTATTCACACTTTCATTTCCCTCCCCAAGATGGCTGCCGCCATAAATTATTCTTTATTTTTTATATTCCATAGAGGAGTTTGAAGGGTGGAAAACCCAGTGGATTCCTGGGGCACCTCTCGATATGCGAACAAGAGGTGCAGCAAGAGTCGCTCCCAGTCTCTGTACTAGTCTGTAAAGGTCCGCAGTAACTGTTTCAGGGTACCATTTAAAATGCTCAGAGACCGTTAGTCTAGGGGTGGTAAGGTTAGCTGAGTAGGGGTTTTATACCACAGACCTTCCATAACTGTTGGGTTAGATCTGCGGTAAACTGAGGAGCAGACAATATTTCCTTTGGAAACCCCACTCTGGTTAATATTCCAACCAAGGCACTGGCGACAGTGTTAGCCTGAATATTTGTCAGAGCGACGGCCTCCGGATAACGAGTAGCGTAGTCCATGGTAAAAATGTTTCTTACTGGATGGACTGGGGTTAGGTAGGGGTCCTACTAGGTCGACTGCTACCCTACTAAAGGGTTCCTCGATCACTGGCATGGGTAACAGTCGAGCCTTAGGGTGGTCCCCTCTTTTCCCCACTCATTGGCAGACGTCACACATGCTGCAGTATGCCGTACATCCTTAGAGATCCCCAGCCAAAAGAATGTCTGGGTGAGGGGTAGGAACTGTGGGTATAACAGGCTGTTGTGACCTTACCATTTGTAGCTCGTGCTCCCTCCTTTCAATCTCTGCTTTGACTTCTAGGAATGTCCGATCAATCCGTTTCTCTGATGGGGCAGGGTACATGGCTAGCCTCCTCTGAACGATTAGTACATTCAGGGAAACAACATATCCAAAAATGTCTAGCATTGGACCGGTGGTTCGGGAGTTAGTAAAAAGGTGGATGTGACCGACCGCTCGCACATTTCCTTGCTCAAAGCAGTTCCACATATTCAGTCTGTGCGGTCAGTCTAGTCTCCCTTGACAATAAGTGTAAATTACACGAACTGAGCCATTCGAGTTTACCATCAATGAATACAGTTTGTTCGTAGGATTATATTGCCGAAATAGCTGTGTTCATATGGTTCCAGTCGAACACATGGAGGGTAGAAGTTCATCGGTGTTCAGGGGAAAAAAGGTAGCAGAAATTAGTTCCACGTGGCCGACCAAACGCTGAGTTCATTCGACTAGACAAAATGGCCGCCGCCAAGTGGTCACACAGACAAACAACGACCACCCTGTTAATCCGTTAGAACACTGGAGGTGTATGCGGTTTTCTCTGGGTGGTCGGTCATTCGACAGAATATTCGATATACAAACAGTTATGGCCAAATACACGATCAGTCATATTAAGAGAATGCAAATAAACAAATGGTCTTTGTTCTCAGCTGCATGCAGCAATTACAGGGACTGAAACAAGGGTTTAGTGCCTACAGTTTGGCTGAGGCTTCCTGGCAATAACAGGGGTTCTGTTAAAGTCTGCAAAGAGCAGAAAGGGACAGAAGGAACAGAAGGAGCAGAATAGGCCTGCAAGGAGCATAAAGGGATTAGAAAGAGGAGCAGAAGGGTGCAAAATAAGCAGAAAGTAGCAGAAAGCTAATGGGGCAGAAGGAGGAAAGAAGACCGTCTTCTTTCTCTTCTGACACGGTGTCAAATAAAGGAGATTGGAGCAGGAAGGACAAGTAAAGTGAATCCTCCACTTTATTATGGACACCACATCATAAGGCAGGGAAAACTTTGGACCTTCTCATCTCCCCAGGTAAAAAAGTGTTAATGTGTTCACTTTCTATTTAGTGAGTGTCAGGAAGCAGAGTGCTGCTGGGTAGGGGTGTCGCTTATTGGCTCGAGCAGTCAGCTGGTATTCTAAGCCAATCAGTAAAACCTTTTTATGAACCCGGGAACTAGTGATTGGCTTAGAGCGTCAACTGACCACTCTAGCCAATTTGCAGCAACAATGCCTGATGTCAATCTGCACTTCCTGACACTCCGTTTCACAAGCCGAATACCACTGAGTGAGCTGGAGGAAGCCTTTGGGGTTAAACCATTTGAGAGCAGTTTAACGCCTTAAAGGAAAGAGCACCCAGGGGCTTCCTGGCATCATAACCTTTTCATTTAGATGAAGTTATGGTGACCAGAATGTTCCTTTAATTTGCTTAAAGGAACACTATAGTGTCAGGAATACAAACATGTATTCCTGACACCATAGTTGTGAAAACACTTTTCACCCTGGATTTATGATAATGACTATGCCCCTTCCCTTTTATGACCCTGTCAAAAAGGGACCAAGCATGGATGTCATTACAATTATGACCCCTCCCGGAAAAATTCCTGCAGACACCCATGATACCGCTGTATGCTATACACACCAGAGCTGGCTTAAGCTCTAGCAAATGTGAGTGTAACCCTATTACTGTCACAGACTATTTGTTTTATTGAGCAATATTTGTGAAGGAACATCATGTATCAATACGAAAACCGTAGACTAATTGAATGCTCCTAGGTGGCCACCATTATGTGCATACAAATGCACGCGGTGAGAACAATGGATGGCGGCCATCTTGTCTCCCGAACGTGGCCAGTGGGACTTGGTCGTCAAGTTCCTGGAAATGTTTTCGACTACGCACTCGCACGAACTCCGGTCTCTATGGAACTCTGCTACGTTCTATTTCTCAGCACGGAGCATTTTTCAGGAACCAGATATATTTAATCTATTGCAGTTTTTGTATTAAAACCCACAAACGTAGACCGGCTCTTGCTACATTTCCTCTGGAACAGTTTCTCGGCTTCAACCTCGTGACAGAACGGTCAACTCTGTCTGCAGTGCCGGTGTTTATTGGTGTTTAAAAGACTTTTCTGGCACAATTCTGCACCTTTGATTCCATGGGAGAATGTGCCTTCTCCTGTCGCATTGTCCCAGGGACACTGCCAGACCAGTTTATACTGGCTGCTTTGTCCCTCCTCAATCTCTATCAGCCCTTGCTAAACTTAAACCCTATGATGATTTGACTCTGTTCGTGGGATCTGAGTGCTGTTCAGATATATTGAGCACTCAGATCCAAGCTATCTGGGGATAGGTTGAATGTGGGGGTTCTGTTCAGTATAATAGGAATTATGTATTTTTGTGTATTTTGTTTTTGCTGTTGTGAATAGATATTTTCTGTACCTGGAGACAATTGGCTTTCCACACCCAAGCCATGCTTGCAGTCAGGCAAAAAGGACTTCCAGCTAACTTTTTTAACCACTGAAGGGAATTGTATGATTTCTGAGTATGTTTGTATTTGGAGTATGCTGATTTCTAATTTTATGTGATGTATACTTTTAGAGTTATGAATATTGGGTAAAACTGTATTTTCCTGGCTGTGATAATTACTTTAGCCCACTGTGTTCAGTATTTATATCACAGGCAGAGGGGAGGATTTTGCTGGCATGAGTGGGAGTGTCAGACATTGTTGTGTTTTTTTTTTTTTTTATTGGTTTGTGTCCTCTGTATGCCTGTGTACCATCAGGTCCAGGGGGTGTGCCTCTAGCCATGGGAGTTACATAGCTGAAAAGACTTGCATCCATCAAGTTCAGCCTTCCTAACATTTGTTTTTTGCTGTTGATCCAAAAGAAGGCAAAAAACACCCAGTTTGAAGCACAATTTTGCAACAAGCTAGGAAAAAAATTCCTTCTTGACCCCAGAGTGGCAGTCAGATTTATCCTTGGATCAAGCAGTTATTACCCTACATTGAAAGATTATATCCTTGAATATTCTGTTCTTGCAAGTATGCATCTAGTAGCCGTTTAAACATCTGTATGGACTCTGATAAAACCACTTCTTCAGGCAGAGAATTCCACATCCTGACTGTTCTTACAGTAAAAAAACCTTTCCTTTGCCTTAGACGAAATCTTCTTTCCAGTCTAAACGCATGGCCTCGTGTCTT